CGCACCATCTAATGATAGGCTGTCACATAACATATTAGGGATGCAGAGAGAGTAGCACAGATGGCAGAGTGTGACATGTCTTCCTTGATATGACCGACTTAGAGTGCTACGTAAAAGGCACAGCTTACGCGGTCTAGAAAGGACCAGAAGAGTGTCTTATGTCTCAAGTAGGATGTAGGGATAGTTTTTCATGACACAAACTTGGCAGCTTGTATTTCTTGCGTCGATAGAATTTATAGTACTCTGATTTTCTGCCTGAAGCTTATTTAGGCAGTTGCACACATAAAGCAACATGTGATTGCTAATAACCTTTAAGGAAGAAACAGTAACTTTATTTGAACATTAGCATCATGTGAAATATGATTCCCTCCCTTTCCATTGAAATCTAAGCTTCCAAGTTGTTTTCCTGATAGTATAAATACCAATTTAACTTCAGTCGTTCGTTATTTATATTTAAATTCTGTGTGCATGGTGTTCAGAAAGGAAAGAGGTGGTGTTCATAAGCTCCTTCCTCCTGGCATCTTTCGCAGCCTCAAATTCAAGGGTGGGTTTTTTCTTTTTCTTTACAGTGCTTAATATCCGCATATGAATACCATTTATACATATTGCTGGTTGAAGATTATTTGTTTAATAGTAAAAATGAACGTTGTTTATTGACATTTTACAGACTAGGAAATAAGACATAAAAAATAAAACCATTTTCAGGTTCACTTTAGCCCGTTGTGAGGGTCGTCACATTGTGGGCCAGAAAGATAATATCTGACAGAGTCCAAAGCAGATGTCCGTTCACATGAGGGGTAAACGTAGTTCATTCAAAGGCAGACCTTCTGTGGATTGAAAAACCACAGTCTGATAATGCCAGGATTTAAACATCGAGTTAAATGAATAAATTCACTGTACGCAGTAGCCGTATTTTAGGAGGTCAGACATTTAGGAATAATATGTATACCGGGACGTGGCAGGTTGCTGTAATTAAGCTTTTTAAGTTGGGAAAGCGCCTTCCTCTTGGCCTTGGCATCGTCAGTACGGTTGGTTGTGCATGCTCAGCCCTAGAATCAGTTGAGAAACAAAAAGACCGCCTGTGCTGTTGCAGTAACTTTATATGTCTAAAACTTTGTGACGTACGTTCGTACTATTTTGTGTAAATAAATTTCAGGGGAGGCTTATAAAATAACCAGTTTTCAAAAAGTTTGCGTTTGTGGGAAAGAGATAATGGACGTGTGAAGTTGTCAAGGCCATGCGCGGTGGCTCACATTATTAGAGAGATACTGTTAGAGATGGTACTGTGTACTTTTAGTGTTAGCAAACGGGATTCTCCGAGTGTGTGCGCATGGACAGGTTTCAGCAAAGGTCTTAGAATGAGACTGGGAAGCAAGACCTGGCAACCCACATCAGAAAAACCGGCCGCTGAAAACCCTGTGGCTCACAATGGTTGATCCCATCGAGTGGGGCTGACTCGGTGACAGCTAACCCCACACACACACTACCTCTGAAATATATGTACTGTTTTTACTAAGAGTTGTGAAGGATTTCTCGAAGTCAAACACCGTTTTCTTGTGTTTTGCCCCTGGAACTC